TATATTATGTCAATGTGGAGGTTATTTGCATAATTAATGAGGACATGTTTAAATGAACTATGACAATGCAAGCCCATATTTCATGGAGGTATGAGATCTCGGAACTCTTGTTATAATTGATTCACCCAGAAAGAGTGAAGTAGTCTATTTGGCTTTTCTGTTCTTTCTGATTTGTGTTTGTTTGTGCGTGTTTGTGTGTGTGTGTGTGTGTGTGTGTGTCTGTGTGTGTCTGTGTGTGGTGTTTCTGCATTAACACAATACATGCTATTATGTATATTTATCAGATTTAATTCGGTCAAATGAAAAAATTCACCTTCAAGTTGTCATTCTTCTTTCTCCTTATCCTTCCACTTCTACCACCTGGGATGTTGCGGGGAGGCACAGTTGGTTGCCAATTCACTTTGCATAATAAATACAATAAAACATTTCATATACAATGTATGAATTTTAGTTTAGAGCTTTCACAGACAAAACTAGTATCACTGCGCACATATTCATCATCATCAGCAGCATGAAAGTTCATCTGAGTTGATAAATTACATTATGAAAAACTTGATGAATCACTCAGTCTTCCTCAGCTATCTGACCCAAATGCTGTGGACACGGTGGGTGTAAAGGGTGTTTCTGAGCCCCTGCGTAGAATCTTTGCTGCACACGGAGTGAGTACCTGTTTCAGACCTCATCGTACGTTAAGACAACTCCTTGTGGCACCTAAGGACAAAACTCCCAAGGAAGACAAATGTGGGGTTATCTACCACATAAGTTGCCAGGGAAACACTAACAGAGGCCCCTGTCGGGAAACTTATATCGGGGAAACTGAGCGCTCACAAAAAAACAGGTTTCTGGAACATAGACGACCCAGTTCTGTTGCATCTGAGGTGTCACAGCACATCCACATAGAATCACCGGGACACACAGTGGATCTGGAGGGGGTCAGAATCTTGGATACCGAACAGGATTACTTCAAGAGAGGCATAAAAGAGGCCATATACATCAGGGCACTTCAACCATCGCTCAACCGGGACGGGGGCTATATCGACTTCAGACAACCTTTGACCCTTTGCTGACGTCACACGTGGGAAAACTCAGATAGCTGAGGAAGACTGAGTGATTCAGTCGAAAATTTCTGGTGAGTCAAATTTTGAGTTGGAGAAAAGTTTAAGCTTTTCATAATTATCATCATCATCTTAAGCACATATTGAAGGATATTGAACAAAATGAAGCCTGCCAGCTCTAATTGCCTTTTACCATGTACTCGGATTCGCCCTGTCCATTTTTTTCTGATTTGCAAAAAAAAATTGGGTTTTTTTAAATCAACTGCAAAATGCTCAATGAAAGACATATTTTGGCCTATATTTTTTTCCTAGTTGTTAAAGTTTATCAATGTAACAATGCCAATATTGTTTCATTAAAAGTTCAAAATCTATTGTTTTCATTATAAACCAGCCTGATATGTTAACTTCATGGCTCATATTGTAACATTTTCGCTATAATGGGATGCCTTGGCCTGTTTTTTTGCCCTGTCGCTTAATATTTTTTTTTTTGAAATAAATCCAAGAAACAACAAATTAAGGTGGTGTGGCCTTGGTAGTGAAGTACTGTACCTGTATCGGGTATGTCTGTATTGGGCATGTCTTTCTGTGTGTCTGTGTGTTTCTGATCTACTTGCAAAGGATGGGCAAAGTCTGCTATCACTGATTGATTGTACAAAATACCTTTTTGAAACAGGTTGCCCAGTGGTCAACCTACGGCAAAAATTAGGTTGCCCATCAGAATTTTAGGTTGCCCCACCTACAAGTTACTACTTTCCTCGAATTAAAGAATGTTACATACATAACCCTTTGACAATTTTCTAACAGCCTTAGTAACTTAATTGATACTAGTAATAGCCATCAATACCTAAAATTATTAAAGCATTTGCCAACTAAAGTGGTGCAAACCAGGTGGGGGGGGGCACTCTTAAAATCCAGGTAGCACCTTGGCTTAAAATAGGTTGCCCCAAGTAAAATTTGGTCGCCCGGGGTAACTGGGCAACCAGGTATTTTGCTGCACGCTGTGATTCCTGCTACTTCTTCTGTGTAGACTACAGGACGACATGGGAAGAAAGCTGCAACACCTGCTGATTTTTCTTCTCATCATCCTGAAGGAGCCCAACATGCCAGAAGCTGACTGCAACTGTGCAAAATTAGACTACATGTACTGCAATTATCCCAACATGGGCCTTACCAACATCCCTCAGAACCTTCCATCATCCACACACACGTTAGATTTAAACTATGATGAGATAACTAGTATTCAACCTGGCGTACTCTCAAATCTACCCTCGCTCACATTATTGTATTTGGGATCCAACAAGTTAACCAGCCTTAAGTTTGGTACATTCTCAAATCCTCCCCAGCTCTGCAGGTTGGTCATTAACACCAACCAAATATCCAGAATTGATGTAGGGGCAATCTCAAATTTACCCAAGCTCCAGCGCTTGGAACTTATATCCAACCGACTATCCATTATTAAGGTTGGCACATTCTCTTATCTACCTAAGCTCGAATATCTGTACCTTAGCTTCAACAAGATAACCAGCATTCAGGTTGGTGCAGTCTCGAATCTACCTAAACTCCATTATTTGGGCCTTCACTACAACCAGATATCCAACATTCAGGCTGGCACATTCTCAAATCTAACCGAGATCTGGTTGAAGCTTGACTATAACCAGATATCCAGCATTCAGGTTGGCACATTCTCGAATATATTTATATTGAACATTGACTTCAACCAAATATCAAACATTCAGGTTGTCTTCTCAAATCTACCAAAGCTCCAACAATTGCACCTGAACTCCAACAGCATATCCAGAATTCAGATTGGCACATTCTCAAATCTACCCAGGCTCTGGTGGTTAAACCTCAATTTCAACAACATAACCAGCATTCAAGTTGGTGCATTCTCAAATCTACCTGAGCTCAAACAGTTGAACCTGCGGTCCAATAACATAACCAGCATTCCGTCTGGCACATTCTCAAATCTACCCAGCCTTGTAAACTTGTACCTGAACTCTAACAACATACACATCATTCAGGTTGGCGCATTCTCAAATTCAATTTGGCTCTGCGTTTTGAATCTTAACGACAATCAAATATCAAGCATTCGGGCTGGCACATTCTCAAATCTACCCAGCCTTGAAAAACTGTACCTGAACTCCAACAACATACACAGCATTCAGGTTGGCACATTCTCAAATCTACCTTCCCTCAAACATTTGAACCTGCAGTCAAACCAGCTAACTGTCCTTCCCCTGTCAGCCAATGACACGTTGGCATCCATTCCTGAATTATATATTGACAACAACCCGTGGCAGTGTGACTGTAAGATGACTCCCTTTAGGCAAACAATGGTTGAAACTTCTGCAGTTCTAAAACAGATAACATGTGTACAACCTGCCAACCTCTCAGGACATAAACTTAAAGATGTCAGTCCCAACGATCTTATCTGTAATGACCCAACCGAATCAACACCAAGTGTTGAGGCCCAAAGCTCATCTGCAGTGTCAACTTCTTCGTTTGGCAATACAGAAAACTGTTATAATGGCACCTTTCATCACAAACGCAATGTTGACTCAACAGTTGACAGGTCAACAGCTTCAACTGTTGCAGTCACTTGTACTTCCCATGAAACTAGTCTCAGTTTTCCACTAGTACCGGTTGTCACTTCAGCTGTTGTTGGTTCAGTGGTATTTCTCGCTGTTATTGTCATTTTGACAATCTGGTGCAAAAGGAGGAAGAGGAATTCTGATTCAGGTTTGAATACCAACCCTGCTTTGCACACCACAAACGCCACAGATGTTGTAGTAACTAGTGGTCTTGATCATGAGTATGAAGATGTAGACCGGCTTAATCACACAGGGAAGGGCCAGTCTATGACTGTACCTAAATCCAACAGAAATATACCATCTGTAATTATAACTAGACGTGATTCTAATCACCAGTATGAAGATGTAGACAGACATAAACAGACAAGGCAGGGCCAGTCTCAGGCCAGCACAAACACCACAGCTACTGTTACTGTAGTGACCAGTGACCAGTATGAAGATAATGATAACCATCATGTTAAGACAGGACAGGGCCAGTCTCAAGCCATCACTGAATCCAACTTAAACATCACAGCTGATGTACCAGTCAGTGGTCATGGACAAATAAGGCATCAGGCTAGCACTAAATCCTTGGACAATGGAAGCCGATTATATAACAAAGGGTCGACTGCCTCAAACTCAACCACTGGATCCTTGGGCTCAAATAAAAGTCCATTATATAAAGTTTAAAAAACACACCTTGTATGATGGTAGTGGTATGCCTCACCAGTGGGCTCGTCAGTTGAACGCCACCCGTCATGGGGAATTTCGGCCCTTAGTTCAATATTCCCTCGGGGTGGGGGGCCAGCAGTGCAAAAAGCACCACCACCCACTGGTGAGCTGTCGCCATCAGTCCTGACGATTGACTTTTAAAACATTGTTCCATTACTGGTGCAGCGTTCGAAGTTCGAAGCGGAGTCAGAGTTCGAAACACCTGACGGCTGGTGACTGTCATAGGTGAATGCTAACGGTCGCTTCGCTTCCGCCTTTCCTCAAGTAGGTACTTGTTCCAGATCCATGCAGATCCTGCCTCCGCTGCTTCTGCTGCTGCTCTTGTTGTTGATTTGATTTCTTTTCTGCTGAGACCCATCTTGTTTAGCCATTTGTGAAGAGATGCGGCAACAAACCCTCTGCATGCTAATTCGAAAGGGTAGCATGATGTCCTCCAGCCTTTGTCCCTGCACACTGCCTCCAGTTCTGCATATCTTGTTAACTTCCGTTCATAAGCCTCCTCTATATTGCCCTCCCATGGCACTGAAAGTTCTCCAAACACCACCTCTCTAGAACTCTCCGACCAGATTACTATATCAGGGCGCAATAGCGTAAGAGCAATTTCCTGTGGGAAACCGCCTTCCCCATCCAGGTCGGCCTTTACTTTCCAGTCGTTTGCAGCTGAAAGGATGCTAGGTTTACGCTTGGAGCTGGTGTCTTTCCTCGGCTGGGAACCTTCCTTCAGAAATGGGGTGAAGTACTGATTACCGGCGGGTACCTCCTCGGCGTTGACACATTCAACTCTCCCCTTGATAGCGTCCACTATCACTCTCAGTACATTGTTGTGCCTCCACGTATATTTCCCACTAGAGAGTGCGGATGGACATGCGCTGAGGATATGTTGCAAGGTGCCCTTCTGCCCACATGCTGCACAACAGTCTGACCGCTCCTCATACCATTTACTCAGATTCGCTGGTGTCGGTAGAAGATCGTACGTGGAGCGCCACAGGAACGAGATGCGGAGAGGTTCCATCTGCCACAGGACATTAAATGAAATGTTCCTTTGCTCAACACTCTCCCAGGTTGTCCACATTCCCTGCTTAGCCTGTCCGGCTGCTACAGCAACCCTCTTCTCTTCTTCCTGTTCTCTTACTTCCTGCACAACCATCTCTCTTCGCTCCTTCTCCGTTGCCGATGACCACCACTTGTGACGAATCAGCCCAAGTCCTTGACGGCCAGTCTGGGTCGCACCAACTACTTCCTTGTGCCTAAGCCTCGCCTCAGCTTCTTCTACCGCAGCACTTACTCTCCACTTTCTTCCAGACCTTAAATCAGGCTGAAAGTTTCTAATCACTGGGTCTTTGGAGTTACTTAAGGTCATGGAGGTTCTCACTTTGGCCACCTTAAACTCTTCCACAAGTGATCGCACTGGGATATTCAGCTTTGCCTTCCTACTGTGAATTGCAATGTTTGTGAGGCTGTTCGGCACTCCCAGCCATTTCTTTACATACGTATTGATGTTGCGTTCCATGGCTTCCACGTGGCTTAAAGCTACCTCATACACTGTTAAAGGCCACATGATCCTTGGCATAAGCCCATACTGTAGACACCAAAGCTTCAGTTTTCCAGGCAGACCACTGTTGTCTATTGCCTCTAACCCCTCTCGTATGAGCTTTGCTGTCTCTTGAACTCGCTTAGTGTCTTTGAGGTCCTCAGTGTACCACCGACCAAGGCTCTTGACAGGCTGCTCTTGGATGGTTGGGATCTGCTCCCCACTCAGGTTGAAATGGTAGTCAGCCAGCGTCCCTTGTTTTAGGACCAGACTCCTGGATTTCTTGGTCTTGAACTTCATTCTAGCCCAAACCATCAGTTCATCCAGTCTGTCCAAGATTCTCTGAGACGCTGTGGTATTTGGGTTTAGGAGTGTCAGATCGTCCATAAATGCTCTGATCGATGGCAGTTCTTCCGAACCCTCGAGCGACACCCCAGGTCCCATTCGCTCTGCGCTCCTTGTCATCACCTCCATTGCTAGCACAAACAGGATTGGTGATATAGCACACCCCATCGGAATGCCAACTTCCAATCTCTGCCACTCAGTTGTGTACTGTGTGGTTGAAAAACGCATATGAAAGTTGTCATAGTATTGCATGACATAGTTTGTGACTTTGTCTGGAATCCATAGGAACTGCATAGCAAACTTGATGAGTGCATGGGGTACTGAGCCATAGGCATTTGCTAGATCCAGCCAAACAACACTCAGGCTCTTTCTTGACTTCTTCGCTGACTGTATGGTATGCCATATCATGCTGCTGTGTTCCAGGCACCCTGAGAAACCAGGCACACCTGCCTTCTGCACAGATGTGTTGACAAGTCCGTTCTCTAAAAAAAACGACGTCACTCTGCTTGCTAGCACACCGAGCATTATTTTACCTTCCACGTTCAGCAAGGATATTGGCCTGAACTGTCCTATCGTGCTAGAGTTCTCTTCCTTAGGGATGTACACACCATCCGCCTTGTTCCAGGACCACATCCTTTCTCCAAACCACCTTCAGCAATCTCCAGAGGACTCTCTTTAGCTTCTCACATTTCTTGTACACTTTGTACGGGACTCCATTTGGACCAGGTGCCGACGCTGCTCGCGCCTTTTCGATAAAACTAGCAACCTCCTTGAACCTGGGCTCTGATACATCAAACTCAACACCTGGCTGTGGTGGTCTTACTAAACCTCCAATGTCGGGCATTGGTGCGTCACGATGCTCATCAGAGTATACACCCCGCAGGTGGCCCTCCAGGTCCTTCTTCTGAATGTTCAGCTTTTACTCTGTTCAAAAAGCTTTTTAGTGAACCGATGCGGGTTTTGGAAAAAGGCCCGCCTAGCCTTTTCTCTGTCCTTTCTCTTCACTCGCTGTCTTTCAGCACGCTTAAGTGAATCGAGTTTCTGTCGAACTTGACGCTGCAGCGCTTCAAGTCCTGGCTTCTCATCTGATACTGCCTTCCTCCATTTATGCTTTAGACATCTCAACTCTTTCTTCAATCTAGCGATTATCCGCTGTCACCTGCTTGGTTTGGATACAGGATCTCTTTCACGCGGTTTGTCAACTCCAAACCTCTCTTCTCCAAAGTCATAAATCAAATCGCCAATCACTTCTAACTTTTCCTTAGCTGATCCTTTCAGTTTCTTCTTCAGCATCTTGCTGGTGTCTTCATCAAACTCACGCCAAGTCTTCTCATCTGCCATCTTTGGCCATTTTACCTTTCCCTTCCTGCCTCTAACCTCCCCAGCCGACACTTGCGGTGGATTTACCTGGGTACTGTGGTCTGCAACCTGCCCTAGGTTATCTCTCGACTGACCTGGATAACTCCCTCCAGTGCGATCCGCTTCTATCGGCTGGTTATAAATGTTCGGCAAATCCGGGATACTCTCTTCCCTCGGTGTTACAGCCTCACTCGTCTCTACCACTGTTTTAACTGCGTAGCATCTCAACTTCCTTTGGTGGATTCTTAAACCTCTGGTGCTTTGAAATGTTCTGCCGCACCAACAAACTGGACACTCAGAGCCGTACGCCATTTTCCGAGCTCGTGGTCGTAAACAATTCCTGTACGTCTCCGTGTCGTCTGTCCTAACGGGTCTATTATCCTCCCCCCTCTTTCGATCAAGACCCTGGGGGCATTTCTTCTTATATGAACTTGTAGCAATCAGTGGGGTATGTACTCATCTCTGAGCTGGTGTCCGGACTGCTCATCCCTACACCCCCCGCGCTGGCCTTTCCCAGCCGTCAGCTGTCTCTCCGCGCCGTCTCCAGTCTATTCCCGGTTGTCATCCAGTCTATTCCTGGAAGTCACTGGTGTCCAGAAAGATAAGTTTAAAAAACACACCTTGTATGATGGTAGTGGTATGCCTCACCAGTGGGTTCGTCAGTTGAACGCCACCCGTAACAGGGTATAATAAAAGGCCAAAAGGCCAAAACGCCACCCGTAACAGGGTATAATAAAACGCCACCCGTAACAGGGTATAATAAAAGGCCAAAAGGCCAAAACTCAATCACTGACTCTTCGGACAGTAAAAGTCCAATATACCGGTATAACACAGGGATGAATGCCCGAAACTCTATCACTGAATCTTCGGACACTAAAAGTCGAATATACAACAAAAGGCTGAAAACCCCAAACTCAACCACTGAATCTTCGGACACTAAAAGTCCAATATACAACAAAAGGCTGAAAACCCCAAACTCAACCACTGACTCTTCGTACAGTAAAAGTCCAATATATAACACAGGGCTGAATGCTCCAAACTCAACCACTGACTCTTCGGACAGTAAAAGTGCAATACGCTAGAAAGGCCGACATTTGCTTGGGAGCAAATACAGCATATTTCAGTCCATTTCCCTCCCACGCAAAAGTGGACTATTCCAAACTTACCCCAGTGCAAAACAGTGCAAAAGATTCTCAAATACATTGTAGATAAATCATACTATGCAATTGTGGACAAAAATGCAAGAAGAAGCACTTTTAATCTCGACAGCTTTACTTACAAAACTTCACATCACTCTTATCTCACAATCTTATTGCAGGTATACAAATAATAACAATGATGAAATTCGGTATATTTCGAAGGTCTAATTGCAAAGAAAAGGAAACTATACATGACATGTCTATACAACAATATATAGATGAACTATAAAACTATACATCTTGATGTTCTGTGTTCCAGACAATTTCCTTCAGGCATATTGAACTATACATTACTTACATACACTATGACACTATACATACATATTGAATAAGATTTATATTATACAAGACGTAGTCTGTGTTGCCCGCTTGAACCCCACTGTTACACTTTGTTGCCATATTACACAACGTAATTTTACGCTGGAAGTAACGTATAGAATAGCAGATAAATATAGAATACAACACGGGGTATTCCGTATCGCCCGAGGTATCGGCCCGACCGCGGGTCGGATCGCCCGACGGCCGCAGGCCGGAGGGCGATCCGACTCGCGGGAGGGCCGGGACCGAGGGCGATGCGGAATACACCGTGTTGTATTTTATTTATATCATACCCACCCAAGAAAACGCGCCTTTCAATGCAATATGAGCCAAAAGTTGGTGCCCCTAAACCCTCAAATGCAACAACATCAGTTCCAATGTCCGGATTCTATATTCGAATTTTCGAAAGGGGCACACGCGGTTAGGGCGAAACGCGTTCGAATCGTTTTATGGAAGCCATGGAAGCGTTCGATAACGGGTTCCGGACCGGGCCGTACCGTAAAGTACGGCCCGGTCCGGAACCCGTTATCGAACGTTATCGCGGCCCGGGTATGATATAAAAGATAAAACAATTTGCTTCACATATTCGACACATGGATAAACCATAAAGTTATTTTACGAATCACATGCCCGCTTGCCTCTGGTACTGTATTTTCATGGGGCAACATATCGCAACACATACCTTCCAAAACACTTTGCGGTACCCAGGATTAGGATGGTCGGCATATTCCATCGTCGTGATTGTAGATGACGTAATGATCTTAGGCACATAAAATTGAATGTGTGGGTCATTGCGCACGATTTGCGTGCAACGTGACCCCAGGTTACCCGCAATGTTCGATGTGTTCGAGCAGTGTTCGATGGCCAACGGCAAATGGAACGGGCATTCTTTAGATCGAACGCGGAACGGGTATAGCACTTTTTGCCCTTTTTTGGCTGAAAATAGCCATTAAATTCCCTTAAAAGAGTCATTTGGAAGTGGTGTATGCCAAATATGTGACTGCTATTCTGTAGACCCACGTTCAAGGTACCCTTATACCGAATTTCAAATCATTTGGTTGTAATACCAGTGCTCAGGATCCATTTTTTCTGTCGAAAAATGCCCCCAAAAACCTTTATAAAAATTTTCAAAGGCATGTATTAAAAAAAAGGGGAAAAAACGCGTGGGGGTATTGGCCCACTCTACCTCCATGCTAAATTTCAGGTCACTTGGCTAAAAAATGAGTTGAATCCATTTGACTGTGTGGCAAGAGAAGGAGGAGAAGAAAAATGAGAGAACACAATTTATTTCCTCCATATGGTATGGACTGAAATATAATAACAAAAAGCCGAATCACAGAATTTTCGGACAGTAAAAGTCCAATATATAACATAGGCCAGAATGCCCGACGCTCAAAGCTGCATTCTCATAGTCACACAAAGACCACCACTGCTGTGATGACCACCAAACGCTAAGTGCCTGAGTGTTCTATCCCTAGCCCCCTCCCTGTTGAGGGTGGGGTTGTACATTCTTTGATATATTGATCTATATTGCCTCTGTAACTCCTTGTTCCCACCAGCGGGTTTCACGGTCTAAGATATCCGTGGACTAGAGTTTGAACGAGTGATTCTGGTTGTGTTGTCGGTGGTGGAAAATGACTAAGAAGTAGCCATAAGCACTAGGTCTGCAATGTTCCTTGTACCTTACTTTCGGCGGCCGACTGGTCTCTCTGATGTGTTGTTCCAATTGGGCTCCTCACACCTGAGTCTAAGCATAGGGTTAGTCTCAGGCCATCATTAAATCCAACGCAAACACCACAGTTCCTGTAGTGACCAGGGGCAATGGTCAAATACAGCAGGACCGGTACTAGTCTCAGACCATCACTTTGTATATTGGAAATCCATCACGTAAGTCCTAATGTAATCTACCATGTGATGGATTTTTAGTATCCATTACTTGCTGTTTGGCTAAATCATATGTATGTATCATATATTGTATATGTGAAAACACCACAAAAGGACCCAACATTTACAGAATTAGCCAATGCAGTGGTCAAGATCAGACAGGACAGGGCCAGTCTCATTGAGTCCTTGAATGTCAGAAACCTATGGCATAACCCTAGCGAGCTACCTACAGCCAATATTCCCAACAAAATATTTCCAGAGTTTTTGCATAGTTCTGTTGTATTGCATTGTATTGAACAGAGTGGAGACCATCATAGCTGGCTGTAGTGCAAGAGAAAGAGTAGAAATTATAATTCCTCATGTTATACTTGTTCATACTTATATTTATTGATATACTTGGCTTTTCTTTGACCATGGTCATCAGCGTGTAAGAGCTGCACATACCTGGTATGATTAGCCTCCGTAGCAGGCTTATAGAACTGGGGTTTGGTGGTCTTCGGTTGTCCTTTTATTAGCCCAGTTCCAAAAAACGGGGGTAATTCAACCAGGCCGGCTATGTTGTCTAAATGCAATCAGAAAATAGCACGTAAAAGCTCCCAAAGACCCCGAAGACCCCCAAAACATCCAGTTTTTGGCATGCTATGGAGGCTAAGTATGAAGTAGTTTGCTGATCACTAGTACTCTTACTAATAGTGTGATGATTAAATCACAATTAATTTTGTTTAACAATGCACGTGTTTATGATGTTACTGTTACATGTTTACTTAATATGTCATAAAAGAAGTTCTTTTGATTGTATGCCATGCCAGTGAGAACCAGTAAAGGTGAGTCACACCTCATCCACACAAATTTAACCTCCAGCCAAGCAAGGTATCCTTTTTTCACCAAATATATTTATTTATTAATTGGTTATGGGGTTGGGTAGCAGGGAGAAGGTCAAATGAACACTTGTAGGAAATGGGTAATATGATGTCTTTACTGTTGGAAAGATGACATCCTCTGGATCTGTGTGGATCTGAATGATCTTGTTCTGTTCCTCTCTCTAGCGAATAGAATGTGATGCTGAATTTGACAGTATGAAATACGATACGGATACGGATAGGGAATTAATATTTTATACAATATAATACGCATATAATCAAAGGTGGTAATGAAATTCGCATATAAGCACAACGATGGGGACGCCCACGACTTGACACATATCCTTGAAGACTGTACGGTCTGGAAGACAAAGAGAAAATTATGTGTTGGTGAAGAGGAAGTCATCGAGAATGTCGGTTGGATACGGGATGTTTATTCTATGACGGGCAGTCCATTCTAGAACGGAACGACTCAAAGATTGAGCAACTTGGTAAACATTTATTGTAATATAATTTGCCATTCCGGTAGATTAGCCTAACAGGTGATGGTCGTCAGGATGATGTTGCTGCAACAGAAATGAAATCAGATAAAGCCCACTAACCTGCTTACACCAACTTACACTAACTTATATTTGCTCAGTCGTTATCTCATTCATTCAAACTTATTTGCTCTCATTACGCAATTACTTTCTGCAGAAGACTACGAAAATAAGTAGGTTATATATGGACTGCGGCTAATATACTTGTACAGTCTTACAATGTAATATGGAATCCATGACTACAACACTACAGTTGAATTAGCACGTTACTTCCATTCTACAACAATAGAAATACCTCTCAAAATGCATTCATATATTAAATCAGAAGCTCCCAGCATCAAAATAAGCCACTACTAGTTTTCTTATCAATCGCTAGATATTTCAGGTATCGTCACTTGTATGATAGTGAACAGTTTGCTCCATAACAACTATATCTGAACACTTCTCCAGTTATCACTTCACCACTGTAAGTAGAAATGACGTCTCAAGTTGGAGATAATGACACATTGTAACTTCAAATCGTTGCCCTACACTCGCCACCCTTCTGTAACGCCAGGTTTAACACATACCTCACCTGTAGTTTTACTGAAGCTCGTTTGAAAAATTCTATCTGCTTTAAGCGATCTTCTGCGAGGAAAGCAACCCTTAGCTGGATCAAGTACTGACGTTGCGTTATCCACAACAGGTGGTCTGGCTGCTGAAGTCACAGTAAATATGGCGGACCGAGAACAACAGTGCGTTACCTGTTGAACTTTGACACGGCTAACCTTGGGGACGACGTGTTTGTTTTTTCTTCCACCTGTCGTTGTGTGACGTCAGCGGAACCCCACTCATGTTGCTGGTTGTAGGTACCCACTAAAGTCGTTCCAACATCACTGAATATGCCTGCCATTGTTAACTGTATATGACCACTTGTATAGAACAAATCTACATTGGCAATTAATCAAAGACAAACAGCTTTGCTAAAGTTGCTGTTTTTTTACCTTGTAGTGTGATTGCAATATCACTGAATATGTATGCCATTGTTAACTGAATAAGACCATCTTTATAGATTCAAATTCAATTTTTTGACAAACATTTTTAACTGTCAGAAGTGTTCAGATTTAAGTACCACGATAAACATGGCTGTTGACGTCACAGTAAATATGGCGGACCGAGGACAACAGTGCGTTACCTGTTGACCTTTGACACGATTGACCTTGGGGAATGGCTTACTCCCGTCTCAGGTGTTTTGTGTGACGTCATAGGCTTTTTATTTACAAGTTGCTGATTTTACCTTGTAGAGTCATTTCAACATCACTGACTTTACAAGTAGTTTTTAACAGAAATTTGCTTTTTGTATAGATTTACATTCCATTGACAATCAATAAAAGACTGCTTTAACTATAAGGAAACTCCAGATTAAAGTACCTCGGTTGACATCGTAGGGAAGTTGGTCATGTTTCAACAGCAATTCCTAAAACATGCGGAAGTTGATCAGTCTATTTCTCAAACAAAATGACATAGTAAAGAAGGTAATCTGGGCTGGAATTATAAAGTAGGAGAAAAAGTTGATTTTTATGTCTTTTTTAGTGAATGAGTCTTGGTCACAGCCTCGGAGTAATTTTTGGCACCTCCAAGAATACCCACAAGCGTCGCTGCTGAGGTAGGTGACAAGTATTACTTCCCGACCACAAGAAACCTTCAAGTTTTGTTCATATTTATCATTCAACAGACGTAGTGTAGAAAACCAAATGAGTCAATACCTCTCAAGAAATCATATTATCCATGCAGCTAATAGTTAAACATGGGCACAATAAAATCAGTTCATTTTATTAGGATCTCCAGAAGTTGGATATCATTGTACAATATGGTTTTGCAGCTTATTTCAATACAGTTGCAGTCATTATGTATAACTTTGCAAAAGGTAAATATGTTGTTTTCGCTTGGTTTCTTCTTATTCGTCAAATAAGCTCAGTGACCTGAATCAGACGTCTGTCACCATGGTAACTTGTGCTGTAGCAGACACCCTGTGGTGATGGATTACATTGCCAGTTGCAAGTTAGAGTGGCTACAGGTCGTCATCATATACATGTGTTCAGTAGTTTGTACAATAATTTGTTAGGCTAGACCGTGTGAAGATAAACTTTATACCTTATGCTTTGCTTACCTTTCTAGTTACATGCAGCTATTAATTTCTGCATGTCAATGTGAATTTATCATTATAATGGTACAAGTACGTAAAAAATACATTACTAATTAATACAAGTACTAAATTATACCATATTCCATAGACAATATCTGTATAAAACCCTCACCAAAAATAAGTACTTGTAGTGCAGATACTAAAATATCCTTGATCGAATAAAACAGCAATAAGTAATTAGGGGATCAATACATCAGCAAGCTAATGTCTACTTGGTACTTATAATGAGACAATTAAGGGAGGGAAATAGCATGGGAAGACACATCAATGTAATATTGTCTGTGTGGACCTAATGTAATATGGTTTATGCAAATCAAACACGCTTAAAGATTAGTGTTTGTAAAAGCTAAAAAACAATAAAACATTTCTGTTGGAATATGCTCATCAGCGTGCTACGAAAACATTAAAATTACAGATAACTAGGATAAATAGTCACTGAATGATTATAATAATTAGTCACTACCAGCTGTCCTTCCGGTCCCACGGCCACGCCATATGGCTTAAACCCAGTCTCAATGATCCGGACATACTCGCCGTGACGTGTGAACATCTGTACCCTCTTGTTCCCACGGTCCGCCACGATGATGTGACCCGAGCTGTCTGTACAGATACCGCGGGGATACCGTAGCTGACCTTCACCACTTCCATGACCTCCACACTTAAGCAGGAACTTCCCGGACTCGTCATACATGTAGACAAAATCAGTTCCCGGGTCCGACACAAGGATGTTTCCTTCCCCGTCCACAGTGATGTACAGCGGCCGTCTCATCTCACCCTGTGGATGTCCGAACCTCCGCACCAGAGAGCCGTCCGGACGGAACACCTCAACTTCACAACAGGCTGCATCAGTCACCAGGATGTGGTTATTGCGTATGTCCACCGCAATGCCGCGGTAATACCCGCTCTTCTGAAGGTGAAACTGTGTCATGGCGGTCCCGTCCGTGCTGTATTGTACAACATACTCGCCTGATTCACCATTCCCCACTACCCACAGTGTGCCGCTACCATCCATAATAACATCATGTGGCCACATGTCCTCGTCCTCTGTGCCCGGTATGACTGTTGGGAAGTGGCGGAGGTAAACCCCCTCTGTGGTGTGGACTTGGACTCGCCTGTTGCGGGTATCGGCCACAAATATTTCGTTACTAGACACCACAACGCTGCGTGGGTGCTGAAATTTCCCTAGTCCTGATTCCGCCCCGCCGTAAGTGATCTTACCTTGACTTAAGTCTCCAGTAGTACAAGGTGTCGCATCATCTGCCCCTGCTGACGTTGGTCGCTTTTCCTCGGTCTGTTGCGTCGCAAGTTTGTCCTCCTTTTCATCTCCTTTCGTTCTCTTCTCTGCGTCCTTTGCAGTCGATTCTTCCTTTGCGGTGTCACCCGAATCTACTCCTACTCCTGCAGTTCCCTTTCGAGCCGCTAGGTGTGTCTGTGTGACTACATTTGCCTCCTCAACATGTGCAGACCAGCCGCCAGGTGGCTTCTCTCCCCTGTACTCATGTGACCAGCCGCCAGGCGGCTTCTCTCCCCTGTACTCCGTCACGTAAGAGGTGACCTGCTTTGCGGCTTTTTCGACGTATTCACGGGCCTGCTGGAGCTTTTGTTCAAGAACTGCGTTCGCCTCAAGAGCTTCCTTCAACCTGTTCTCTGAAATGGTCAGCTTGGAGCGTAAGGTCATGATCGTGTTGGAATCCACCTTTTGGATGAGCTGCTTCATCTCTTGTTCTCTGAGCTGATCCTTCTTCTTTATCTCTTGTTCTCTGAGCTGACCATTCTGCACCAGAGCCTGGACCAGGCTATAGGGGAAGCCCTGGTACTCCAGACTCGCGGCTACCTGCAGATGGAGGGGCAGGGCGTCCGAGAACAGGTTCAGAGCGGACAGGCGGGTCCAGTTCCTGGGCGCTCTCTGCTGCTTGGTGCGGGTACTGCAGCCCACCTCGATGTCATCGACGGTTTGCTGTCTCTTGATATCTGTAACATAAAATCATTTTAAAAACGTTAGTCGAGGTATAATTTCACAAGCCAATGAATCAAGATTGTAAATGTTGGATTGATAGTAGTAAAGTACGGTTTGTAGTAATTAAGTGTTCTCAGAAGGATACTGACTACTGAAAGGCAATCGTGTAGCTCTTGCTTTTAAAAAGGTTAATCATAAAGTAACACGTATTTGAATAATACCATGTCTTGTCTTGTCGCCATGTTACAATAAAAAAAAGGTTAATCAGATAGCTTGAAATGAATGTGTTACTGAAGGGTCAGTTCAACCTACCGTTGAAAAGCGCCTCCTGTGCGACTTCGATTGGTGCTTCAGCGTCGATCTGCAGTGACTTGACGCCCATGAATACAAGTCTTGGGTCAGAGTTATATGCCATGAGCTTAAGCACCGCTGTGCTCTTCCGCGGTATGGTGTAGTGCACAAGGATGCTGTTGCCTCCCCTGTGTTCTCTGAATATAACCTCTGAGCCCTCAATTCGACACAGAGATCTTAGATAGTATCTATGGCGATCTACGGTCTCCTGGGTCATGTGCCTTTGTCCTTGAATGAGCAAGTAGGCTTCGGCTGTTTCTCCTGAAAATATTCAAATGGAAAACAATTACGTTCTGATCAGATCAAAATTAAAGATTGTATATTCTTTCACAAATTTAAAACATTGGACAAAACTATTCACTGGAGCAATAACATTATCCAAAACGGCAACAAACATAATTTTTCATTAAATTACACCATGTCACAGTGTACATCTAAACAAATACGACTTTGTACAATACAGTAATCGCGACGGGGGTTGACATCGTCTACCAGATACCTTTGACCCAGTGTTGACGATACACTTCAAATAAGCCAGGTGACAAGCCCCACTGGGTCAGTCTACTGAGGAAGGCCAGAGTGACTGGTCGAAAGCTCAAGGTGAGAGACCTTTTCGTGTTGGATCTAGAGTATTAACTCTAAACATCTAACTACCAACACTGATAAACTTTCATGATGGAAATACAAGTCCGTCTTTTCGATAAATGAAAGCGGTTTTTATATCCGTACGATTCGTCTTTTTAGTGGAAGATATTTAGGAAAGTCACGCAAAATGAACATTTAAAAATGTATTGCGTTGGATGAGAAATGTCACCCGAGGCTTCCGAGCGTCGTGACAAAAATATCTTACCACCTACGCTTGCACCATCAGCACTTGTTCCCGGTTCTAGTTCGGGGTTTTCCGGAATCACTCGGTTAGGCGGTTGGAACGGCCTCAGAACGTCCCTCACCAGGTTTGATCTCCCCATTCTTTCCAAGATCTCTTCAAGAAAGTTTAAGTTCTCCTGGTTTATTTTGTCCAGCTCTTGTGGCTTCTGGAACACGTCGATCGCCCGTTCGAGTTTTTCAGCCCTGCCTTTTGGAATGTATTCAATACAATAGAACTTCAGCAGATTCACTTCCTCCGTTGTCAGGGCCTCGGAGATACGATGTAACATTTGCACAAAATCAAAATGGCGTCTGTCAGCCTCTGTCACTCCCGTAGTCGCCATACTGAAACGAAATGAAAATATATTACATCATCTTAACTTACGTATATGTAACAATTTTGGGATCAATCAATTTGATGTAAAAGCAACTGGCATCACATGGGATAGATTTACTCCCTGATGACATGAATGGAACATGTTCTTGGCCTATGTGTGGTAGCTCAAAAAAAGTAAGTATTAGTAATTGCAATTAATGATAGTTGTTGTGACTGTATTAATAATCAATTAATGTGCCAACCAAATTACTAATTAACCTATTGTAAAACAATTTTAGGAATTTAGGTTTAGACATTTAGAAGGAGGACAAAAAAACTTATGTTGTTGTAACATCAGTATCAAAAGACCATTTATTTGATGATTTATTCTCAAATTGTTTCATACACCTGCCTGCAAAAAAGCGGAATCTTAGGACAAGATCTTAAACTTTGTAGGAATACATTAGGAACTCTTTATCTTAGTTTATGTGAACTTACGCACCCATTATCTTGTTTGTAATTTGCAAGTCTTGCTCTTGTTTGTACCAAGCAAATAGTGGGCCAGAGTGCAACTTGACGTCAGGTTGCCAGTTTCTGTTCGTTTGCTCAAACCAACATTGTTTAACAAGTCATTCGGACGTGCTGATGGGGTGTGGTCTTAGATCATGACACTGAAGGGTGCCTGCTATGACGTAATGTGGCCATAGATCATGACACTGATAGGTGCCTGCTACGAGGGGTGTGGTCTTACATCATTACACTGATAGGTGCCTTCTATGACGTAATGTGGACATAGATCATGTGCCTGATACGAGGGGTGTGGTCTTACATCATTACACTGATAGGTGCCTTCTATGACGTAATGTGGCCATAGGTTATGACACTGATAGGTGCCTGCTACGAGGGGATGTGGCCTTAGATCATGAGACGCCTTCTACAAATAAATTATCGATCGGAATCAGTACAGAGATGGTAATTTTAAGCCTTATTACATATTCATAAACATAAGATTTAGGATCAAGGAACTATGCAGTTTGAGCTTTTCGTGCAAAAAATTCTCTGCGGGTCTCTATGTTCATCAGAGGCCATAAAATTACTTTTACTATTTTTGTTAACTTTAAAAGCAGTACTACAACCGTAACCATCCTAACCAATCAAGAAAATTTACTTGTCGAATGTTATCAACATTTCTCTGTCATAAAACGTGCTATCTCTAGTCAAATTAAGCCGTATAACTACAGACATGTGTTAAGAGTATACGTAGTTTGAGCAAACAAAAATGGCGGCCTGCCTGTGCCACGTTTACAACATTCCTCACCTGTAGTGTAAACTCTAACAGCAGTGAAGCGTGTTGAAAAACTCACTTGAGTGAAGCAACCGGGAGACTCACACCTTAAGATGGTACAAGGAACAAAATTCCAGAATATCCAGACTCCCTCAGTTGCTACTGGTCTGCTGACGATTGTAGTACCAGACGTCAGGCAATATGGCGGCTGGGGAACAATGCCTGTCAGTCTGTTGAACTTCGATCACTGCTGACCGTTAGACTGGTGGCGTGACGCAGTTTGTTTTCACTCAACGCTGCTCATAGATTGGTTATTATGATCCCCCGAATACTAATGATATTTCATACGGGGTATTTAGTCTGAAAGTACATGTATTAAGTATAAAAGAATTAATAAGGTTCATTTTTATTCCTACGCATCATGGTTTTATATAGAAAAGTGTAGTATTGATACGTTTCAATGTAGTTATTACATTTACATGTACCTTCGCATAAGGGAAACGTATTATTTTTGTCCTGGTTCTTTGCCTATTTTTCTATAAATAAGTAAGGTCAATTACTAGTACCTGCGCCTAACGGCTGTCACCGTGGTAACTGGTGATGTAGCAGACACCCTGTGTTGTTGAATTACATTATGTATATGTGGTAAGTTAGAGAGGCTGGTCACCATACACATGTATATGTATGTGTTTGAGTAAGAACAAATATAGCAGTAGTTTGATACTTGGCTAGACGTGTAAATGTAATCATCATGCATTTGTTTTGCAAATGTTACATATACTTTGTTTGTTGTATCCGTGTTCTTTGTAGTTGTTTGTTGCGGTTTAGGTCACGTCTTTGGAGACTGAATAAGGTGTTGTTCCATGTGTATCAGTAAGGGGCGCTGTTTTTTTTTTATTCATTCACATGAAAAAAGGATACAGGACATGGTGATGCCTCACTCAAGTGGAAAGCACTTATGTTGACGGCACCACTAAATAAATACATGTAATAAAGAAAAGAAACAATCGCAACTTTAAGACAGGCAAAAAACAGTAAATACAAGAAATTCAAGAGCGCAGGTCCGGTTCCCCACCCAATGATAAATGATGGCAAAGAGGACACAGTACATAAATAACAAAGGGGGAAATTGAAATCTTTTAAAAACGTTCTGATGTGGTGATGAAGCTTTGGGTAAGTGATAATATATTGGAGTTAACAACTGATGAGAATGCGGTACTGCCACGGAGTAAAAGGTCAGTTTTTGCGTTGTCAGAAAGAGTTGTAAAATCTAAGGTGTGTCCTATGAGCCTGGATAGTTTGCCAAGGAGAGTAGATCGTTGGGAGTTGTACATGGGGCAGTGTAGTAGGTAATGTGGGACGGTTTCACATTGGCATCCGCAGGTACAAGCTGGGCTGTTCAATAATCCACGAGTAAAGAGACTGTAGTTCAGGCTGCACGTGCCAATGCGAAATCGTGCCATAAGAGCACCAGAATAACGAGGACCGTGACTAAAGTACTTAAATTTAACAGGCCTTATTGATTTGAGAAGAACTGAACGAAATTTAGAGTAATTTAGGGATCGTGTTGACAAGTCAAGGTTGTTCCAGTAGAATGTAGAATATTGAACAAAAGAATTTGCAAACCGGTTTGTAGAATGACTAAGGGGTCTTAGGTCCATGTTATTACGAAGGTTGTAATGACATGATGAAGATATGGCTGGAGGTAATATTTCCGACAGGTAATTTCGACTTTGACCGTTCACAATCTTATAAAACAAACAAAGGCGGTGGACGTGCCGTCTGTCAGATAATGCTTCCCACCCTAGCTCCTGCCGAGTTGACGAGTAGGACGACCCCTTGACAGCTCCCGACACGACAAGGGCGCAGTGATATTGTATACGTTCTATAAGCTGTGCATTTGTACTTGTCGTGCCGTGCCAAATTACGTCGCCATACTCTAAACAGGGACGTATATATGATTTGTATAGGGTTTCCAAGACGTAACGAGGAAGTTTAAATTTGAGGCCACTGAAAAGGTCAATGCATTTGGATAACTTGGAGATAATGTAATTAATATGGGAATCCCAGGACATTTTGTAACTTAAGATAATACCAATATGTTTATGTTCATGGACAGGCTTGATAACACAATTGTTAAAACAGTGGTGGCTGTGCTGGGGGTTCTCTTTTAACTGAAAATGTCATTTCTTCTGATTTGTTAGGATTTAGTTCCATGAGCCACTGAGTGGCTCACGACAGATTTTTAGACAGATCAGAATTTAGACAAGCAGCGGAATCAATTGGGTTATCAACAATATGTAAAAGAGAGGCATCATCGGCGAAGAGGTAGGGTAGGGAGACTAAATCTTTTACAATGTCATTGATATAAACTAGAAAAAACAGGGGGCCCAGGATTGAGCCCTGTGGCACACCTGCGTTTGTCTTACACCAAACAGAAGACTGGCCATCAATAACTACTCGCTGTGAACGATTACTGAGGTAACTATGTATCCAGTTTATAAGTGGCCCTTCGATACCATTCCTTTGTAGTTTAAAAATAAGTCCTGAGCGCCACACCCTATCGACGGCACGTGAAAAGTCGAGGTATACTGCTCGTGCATCATGTCCATTTTCTAAAGCTTTTTAAAAGTATAGTATGGGTAAAATGACAGACAGTGGAGTCTCCTTTGATAAAACCTGATTGAAAACGGAATAAAAGATCGTTGCGCATTAGGTGATTATACAGGTGTTTGTAGACTATTTTCTCAAGTACCTTGGATAGGGTGGGAAGAAGTGATATTGGACGATAATTATGTCTTGTGGGTCTCCTTTTTTTGAAAATAGGTATAACATTAGAGAATTTCCATGTCTGGGGGAAGTGACCATGACAGAGGGACAAATTAAACACATAAGATATTTTGTCTGAGATCAGAGGGGCAATGAGTTTAAGAAAGTAGTTATCGATATTGTCATACCCGTGGGCCTTGCCAACTTCCAGGTTGACAATAAAACAAACAAACAAACAATAAAACTTCTTCAGGGGAGGTAGTGATGTGGAGGAGCCGACTGGATGTCAGGTAATCGAGGGCTGGGAGAGAGGCATGTAAATCATCAATAGTAGACTGGGAAACAAAATATTGATTGAGGATTGTTGCCTTCTCAAGTGCATCGAAAATGTAAGAACTGCCCTCCTTGAGGGGAGGAATAGCAGACGTGACTTTTGGTCTATAAAAATATTTCACCACATGCCACCATTTTTTGCTGGAAGTAGATGGGTTATTGAGTGAATTTACAAGGCGTTGATGGTAACTAGATTTGTTTTGGGAGATGAGATTAGTGAGTCTGTTTCTCACCTTGCGGTATGCAGCCCAATTTGCATCTGAGTTTGAAAGCCTGGCTTTCTTGTGTAGTTTGTCACGAGAGCGCATAAGGTTACGGATTTCAGAAGTAATCCAGGGTTTATCTTTGGGTCTTATCAATTTTTTTTTACTGGGGACACACTTATGTTTTGCCTCGAAGATAATTCGCTTAATTTAATTCACTTAATTTTTCAGCGGCCGAATCAACAGATGCACAGAGAAAGATGTCATTCCATTTCGCAGACGAACAAAATGCTGAGAGCTTATCGTGGTTTATATGCAAATAATCCCAGATGGTACGATAATAGGGTCTTGGTGTGTAATGAGACAGAGACATAGAACAGGTTGTTGGGCTGTGATGGCATCCTGACAGGGGGGCTT